ACAGACAGACAGACAGCCACCAGAAGACAGAGACAGACAGACAGGCAGACACACAGACAGACAGAGAGACAGACAGACAGACAGACAGACAGACAGGAGCCACCAGAAGACAAAGACAGGCAGACAGACAGACACCAGAAGACAAAGACACAGACAGACAGACAGACAGCCACCAGAAGACACAGAGACAGGCAGACAGACAGTGACACCAGAAGACAGACAGACAGACAGACAGACAGTGCCACCAGAGACAGACAGACAGACAGACAGACAGACAGACAGGTGTGCCACCAGAAGACAAAGACAGAGACAGGCAGACAAGTGACAGACAGAAGACAAAGACAGACAGACAGACAGACAGAGACAGACACCAGAAGACAGAAAGACAGGCAGACAGGACAGACAGACAGACAGACAGACAAAGACAGGACAGACAGACAGACAGACAGAGAGACAGAAGACAGAGACAGACAGAGACAGACAGACAGAAGACAGACAGACAGAGACAGACAGACAGGTGAGCCACCCGAAGACAGAGACAGACAGACAGACAGACAAGTGTGCCACAGAAGACAAAGACAGAAGACAGGACAGACAGTGTGACAGACAGACAGACAGACAGACAGACAGACAGACAGACAGACAGAGCCAGACAGACAGACAGACAAAGACAGACAGACAGACAGACACAGACACCAGAAGACAAAGACAGGCAGACAGGTGACAGACAGACAGACAAAGACAGACAGACAGGTGTGCCAGACAGACAGACAAAGACAGAGACAGACAGACAGACAGGTGACAGACACCAGACAGACAGAAGACAGAGACAGACACAGACCACCAGACAGACAAAGACAGGACAGACAGACAGACAGACAGACAGACAAAGACAGAAGAGACAGCAGACAGACAGCCACCAGACAGACAGACAGAAGACAGGCAGAGACAGACAGTCACCAGAAGACAAAGACAGAAGACAGACAGACAGACAGAGCCACCAGAAGACAAAGACAGAAGACAGACAGACAGACAGCCACAGACAGACAGAGACAGACAGACAGACAGCAGACAGGTGAGACAGAGACAGACAGAAGACAGACAGACAGACAGACAGAGAGGACAGACAGAGACAGACAGACAAAGACAGACAGACAGGACAGACAGACAGCCAGACAGACAGAGACAGACAGACAGACACAGACAGCCACCCGAAGACAGAAGACAGACAGACAGTGTGCCACAGACAGACAAAGACAGACAGACAGACAGTGCCAGACAGACAGACAGACAGACAGACAGACAGAGAGGACACCTGAAGACACAGACAGAAGACAGGCAGACAGACAGTGCCACCAGAAGAGACAGACAGGACAGACAGACAGACAGTGTCACCAGAAGACAGACAGACAGACAGACAGACAGACAGACAGACAGACAGACAGACAGAGACAGAGACAGACAGACAGACAGTGACAGACCAGACAGACAGAGACAGACAGACAGGTGTGCCACCAGAAGACAGACAGACAGACAGACAGACAGACAGGACAGCCACCAGACAGACAAAGACAGACAGACAGACAGACAGACAGTGTGCCACAGACAGACAAAGACAGAAGACAGACAGACAGACAGTGCCACCAGACAGACAGAAGACAGACAGACAGACAGACAGACAGGACAGTGACAGACAGAAGACAGAAAGACAGAAGACAGACACAGACAGGTGTGCCACCAGAAGACAAAGACAGGCAGACAGACAGCCACCAGAAGACAAAGACAGAAGACAGACAGACAGAGACAGACAGACAGAAGACAGAAAGACAGACAGACAGACACAGACAGAAGACTAGATCGACAGAGAGACAGACACAGACAGAAGACAGACAGACAGACAGCCACAGAAGACAGAGACAGACAGACAGCAGACAGACAGCCACCAGACAGACAAAGACAGAAGACAGGACAGACAAGTGTGCCAGACAGAAGACAGAAAGACAGAAGACAGGACAGACAGAGACAGACAGACAGACAGACAAAGACAGAAGACAGACAGACAGACAGTGACAGACCGACAGACAGAGACAGACAGACAGGACAGACAGACAGAAGAGACAGACAGCAGACAGTGTGCCACCCGAAGACAAAGACAGAAGACAGGCAGACAGGACAGACCACCAGAAGACAGAGACAGACAGACAGACAGACAACAGAGCCACCAGAAGACAAAGACAGACAAGACAGGACAGACAAGTGTGCCACAGAGAAGACAAAGACAAAAGACAGGCAGACAGGAGTGCAGACAGAAGACAAAGACAGAAGACAGGCAGACAGGTGTGCCACCAGAAGACAAAGACAGGCAGACAGGTGTGCCACCCGACAGACAGACAGACAGAAGACAGGTGTGACAGACCAGACAGAGACAAAGACAGAAGACAGGCAGACAGGTGTGCCACCAGACAGACAAAGACAGACAGACAGACAGACAAGTGTGCCACCAGAAGACAGAGACAGACAGACAGGCAGACAGACAGTGCCACCAGAAGACAAAGACAGGCAGACAGGTGTGCCACCAGAAGACAGAGACAGAAGACAGAGCAGACAGGTGTGACACCAGAAGACAAAGACAGAAGACAGAGACAGACAGGTGTGTCACCAGAAGACAAAGACAGAAGACAGGCAGACAGGTGTGACACCCGAAGACAGACAGACAGAAGACAGACAGACAAGTGTGCCACCAGAAGACAAAGACAGAAGACAGGCAGACAGGACAGCCACCAGAAGAGACAACAGACAGAAGACAGGCAGACAGGTGTGCCACCAGAGAGAGACAGACAGAAGACAGACAGACAGGTGTGCCACCAGAAGACAAAGACAGGCAGACAGGTGTGCCACCCGAAGACAAAGACAGAAGACAGGTGTGCCACCAGAAGACAAAGACAGGCAGACAGGTGTGCCACCCGAAGACAAAGACAGAAGACAAGTGTGCCACCTGAAGACAAAGACAGAAGACAGGCAGACAGAGTGTGCCACCAGAAGACAAAGACAGACAGACAGACAGTGAGACAGACAGACAAAGACAGAAGACAGGCAGACAGGTGTGCCACCAGAAGACAACAGACAGACAGACAGGAGACAGACAGAGACCACCAGACAGACAAAGACAGGCAGACAGGTGTGCCACCAGAAGACAAAGACAGAAGACAGACAGCAGACAGACAGACAGCCACCAGAAGACAAAGACAGACAGACAGACAGGCAGACAGGTGTGCCACAGACAGACAAAGACAGAAGACAGGACAGACAGGTGTGCCACCAGAAGACAAAGACAGAAGACAGACAGCAGACAGGTGTGCCACCAGAAGACAAAGACAGAAGACAGGCAGACAGGTGTGCCACCAGAAGACAAAGACAGGCAGACAGGTGTGCCACCAGAAGACAAAGACAGAAGACAGGCAGACAGGTGTGCCACCAGAAGACAAAGACAGGCAGACAGGTGTGCCACCCGAAGACAAAGACAGAAGACAGGTGTGCCACCAGAAGACAAAGACAGAAGACAGGCAGACAGGTGTGCCACCAGAAGACAAAGACAGAAGACAGGCAGACAAGTGTGCCACCAGAAGACAAAGACAGAAGACAGGCAGACAGGTGTGCCACCAGAAGACAAAGACAGGCAGACAGGTGTGCCACCAGAAGACAAAGACAGGCAGACAGGTGTGCCACCAGAAGACAAAGACAGGCAGACAGGTGTGTCACCAGAAGACAAAGACAGAAGACAGGCAGACAGGTGTGCCACCCGAAGACAAAGACAGAAGACAGGCAGACAAGTGTGCCACCAGAAGACAAAGACAGAAGACAGGCAGACAGGTGTGCCACCAGAAGACAAAGACAGAAGACAGGCAGACAGGTGTGCCACCAGAAGACAAAGACAGAAGACAGGCAGACAGGTGTGCCACCAGAAGACAAAGACAGGCAGACAGGTGTGCCACCCGAAGACAAAGACAGAAGACAGGTGTGCCACCAGAAGACAAAGACAGAAGACAGGCAGACAGGTGTGCCACCAGAAGACAAAGACAGGCAGACAGGTGTGCCACCCGAAGACAAAGACAGAAGACAAGTGTGCCACCTGAAGACAAAGACAGAAGACAGGCAGACAGGTGTGCCACCAGAAGACAAAGACAGGCAGACAGGTGTGTCACCAGAAGACAAAGACAGAAGACAGGCAGACAGGTGTGCCACCAGAAGACAAAGACAGAAGACAGGCAGACAGGTGTGCCACCAGAAGACAAAGACAGAAGACAGGCAGACAGGTGTGCCACCAGAAGACAGAAGACAGGCAGACAGGTGTGCCACCAGAAGACAAAGACAGAAGACAGGCAGACAGGTGTGCCACCAGAAGACAAAGACAGAAGACAGGCAGACAGGTGTGCCACCCGAAGACAAAGACAGAAGACAGGCAGACAGGTGTGCCACCAGAAGACAAAGACAGAAGACAGGCAGACAAGTGTGCCACCTGAAGACAAAGACAGAAGACAGGCAGACAGGTGTGCCACCAGAAGACAAAGACAGAAGACAGGCAGACAGGTGTGCATGCCTGACAACATTGGCATAGATGTGGGCCAGAGTGCCACAGGAAAACAGACTTGCTATGGTAACACTTGGCCAGGAGTACATGTGGTGGCCAGGAGTACATGTGGTGGCCAGGAATACATGTGGTGGCCATACAGCACAGTGAAATCAGCAATTAAACAACTGGTTTATGACAATTTCCACCTGAGTAACACAGTTGATTGTCTGCTAACTGGCAGAGTACGTGCCTGGAAGCAAGTGGCAGTGGCTCATAGCAAGAGGGAATGGAGGTATAACCAAAGTGTGATACTGTGCAAGTCTTTCCTTACAGTCAGCGGGTCATGCCATGATACATGGTTTGACAGAGGCAGCAAACTAACACACTGGCAGGCAAACAGCAACAAGAGCAAACAGTTGAGCAGAATTACCTTCTAGATGTCCTTGTTGCTTCTGGTGATGATGGGCGCTTGGTCAATGATCCTGAAAACACACATATATACTATAAATCACATACCCCTTCTATTTTGTGCGTTTGTTTTAATTCAACTGTTGACTACTCCCAAAAAGTGACCACCACACGGATTACATTTTCAACTGCCATTATAGCTTCACAGTTCAATTTAACAGTCATGATGGTGGCCAAGTTTATGTACATTCCCTTTATTTATTGCAACAAAGGGTAAAAGTAAACTTTCACCTCCCTTTGAATGTTTTCTCCATTACATCCTTTACATTAATGTTTTTTTTTTTTTTAATTTTAAATGTTGCGTTATCCTACTTGAAATACAGACTCAGATAAAGGCGTTGGAGGAGGTGGTTGCTTTATTGGTCAGATTTGGGAGATTGCCAACATACTCCTACATTGCACATTGGGGCCAGCTCCCACACCCTGTAAACAAATTTGCTGCAGAAAATTGTGAGAAGAAATGAACAGAGACAGAATCTTCACGCATGTGCTAAAATGGGACATTCTTGGGTTGAGGAGACAAGGGCGTCAAAGAGAAAATGAAAGATGGTAGGATCCAATTGTGCTCACTTCTCCGTGGAGTTTCAACCACATACACAACAGCAGTGGAGATGAAGATGAGGTAGAAGACCGGAGAACAACATTATCTTTCATTATCATTGGGCGAAGCCGGGCAATTATATCTAGCTGGTTTTAAATACTTAAAGGAAATGATGAAACACTTCATTAAAATTATAAAACACTTCATGAGAATGATGAAACACTTCATGAGAATGATGAAACACTTCATTAAAATGATAAAACACTTCATGAGAATGATGAAACACTACATGAGAATGATGAAACACTTCATGAGAATGATGAAATACTTCATGAGAACGATGAAACACTTCATGAGAATGATGAAACACTTCATGGAATGATGAAAAACTTCAAGAGAATGATGAAACACTTCATGAGAATGAAGAAACACTTTATAAGAATGATGAAACACTTCATGAGAATGATGAAACACTACATGAGAATGATAAAACACTATATGAGAATGATGAAACACTTCATGAGAATGATAAAACACTTTATGAGAATGATGAAACACTTCATGAGAATGATGAAACACGATCATGGTTAAACAGACCATCAAACTTGACAAAGAATGGCGATAAATAAAGATGCTTCAGAATGGTGAAAAAGAAATATACCAGAGAATGGCGATCAAGAAAGATGCTTCACAATGGTGGTAAAGAAAGACGCTTCAGAATGGTGGTAAAGAAAGACGCTTCAGAATGGTGGTAAAGAAAGACGCTTCAGAATGGTGGTAAAGAAAGACGCTTCAGAATGGTGGTAAAGAAAGACGCTTCAGAATGGTGGTAAAGAAAGACGCTTCAGAATGGTGGTAAAGAAAGACGCTTCAGAATGGTGGTAAAGAAAGACGCTTCAGAATGGTGGTAAAGAAAGACGCTTCAGAATGGTGGTAAAGAAAGACGCTTCAGAATGGTGGTAAAGAAAGACGCTTCAGAATGGTGGTAAAGAAAGACGCTTCAGAATGGTGGTAAAGAAAGACGCTTCAGAATGATGACAAAAGAAGATGCTTCAGAATGATGACAAAAGAAGATGCTTCAGAATGATGACAAAAGAAGATGCTTCAGAATGATGACAAAAGAAGATGCTTCAGAATGATGACAAAAGAAGATGCTTCAGAATGATGACAAAAGAAGATGCTTCAGAATGATGACAAAAGAAGATGCTTCAGAATGATGACAAAAGAAGATGCTTCAGAATGGTGATACAAAAAGTTTCTTCAGAATGGTGATAGAAGAAGATGTTTCAGAATGGTGATAAAGAAGGATGCATCAGAATGATGATATAAAAGGAAGCTTCAGAATGGTGATAAAGGAAAATACTAGAGAATGGTGAAAGAGAAAGATGTTTCAGAATGGTGATAGAGGCATATATTAGAGAATGGTGATAAAGGAATATACTAGAGAATGGTGATAAAGGAATATATTAGAGAATGGTGATAAAGGAATAAATTAGAGAATGGTGATAAAGGAATATATTAGAGAATGGTGATAGAGGCATATATTAGAGAATGGTGATAGAGGCATATATTAGAGAATGGTGATAGAGGCATATATTAGAGAATGGTGATAGAGGCATCTATTAGAGAATGGTGATAGAGGCATATATTAGAGAATGGTGATAGATGCATATATTAGAGAATGGTGATAAAGGAATATATTAGAGAATGGTGATAAAGGAATATATTAGAGAATGGTAATAGAGGCATATATTAGAGAATGGTGATAAAGGAATATATAAGATATAGGTGATAAAGGAAGATGCTTCAGAATGGTGATAAAGGAATATATTAGAGAATGGTGATCAAGGAATATAGAGAATAGTGATAAAGGAAGATGCTTCAGAATGGTGATAGAGGATGCTACTAGAAATCTAAAAAGCTGTTCTATATCCTGGCAGAGGCCATGGGTCTCTGTGTGGAAAGTCAAACCCAAATTCTAGCCTGCACACTCTGTGTGTGGCAGCAGCTGGGACAGATGATCAGTAATGTGGGACCCAAGTCCTGTGTATGGTTATGTGGGACCCAAGTCCTGTGTATGGTTATGTGGGACCCAAGTCCTGTTTGGTTATGTGGGACACATTCTGTGTATGGTATTTGTGGGAGATAAAAATGACTGTAGCTGTGAAGTGACTTAAGTCAAGACACTTCAGACAGATTATAGATGTGAAGTGAGTTAAGTCAAAACAATTCACAGACAGACTGTAGCAGTGAAGTGAGTTAAGTCAAGACAATTCACAGACAGACTGTAGCAGTGAATTGTTAAGTCAAGACAATTCACAGACAGATTGTAAGTGAGTTAAGTCAAGACAATTCACAGACAGATTGTAAGTGAGTTAAGTCAAGACAATTCACAGACAGATTGTAGCAGTGAAGTGAGTTAAGTCAAGACAATTCACAGACAGATTGTAAGTGAGTTAAGTCAAGACAATTCACAGATTGTAGCAGTGAAGTGAGTTAAGTCAAGACAATTCACAGACAGACTGTAGCAGTGAAGTGAGTTAAGTCAAGATAATTCACAGACAGACTGTAGCAGTGAAGTGAGTTAGTCAAGATAATTCACAGACATACTGTAGCAGTGAAGTGAGTTAAGTCAAGACAATTCACAGACAGATTGTAGCAGTGAACTGTTTAACAGTTAAGTCAAGACAATTCACAGACAGACTGTAGCAGTGAACTGTTTAACAGTTAAGTCAAGACAATTCACAGAGAGACTGTAGCAGTGAAGTGAGTTAAGTTAAGATAATTCACAGACAGACTGTAGCAGTGAAATGTTTAACAGTTAAGTCAAGACAATTCACAGACAGACCGTAGCAGTGAAGTGAGTTAAGTCAAGACAATTCACAGACAGATTGTAAGTGAGTTAAGTCAAGACAATTCACAGACTGTAGCAGTGAAGTGAGTTAAGTCAAGACAATTCACAGACAGATTGTAAGTGAGTTAAGTCAAGACAATTCACAGACTGTAGCAGTGAAGTGAGTTAAGTCAAGACAATTCACAGATTGTAGCAGTGAAGTGAGTTAAGTCAAGACAATTCACAGAGAGACTGTAGCAGTGAAGTGAGTTAAGTCAAGACAATTCACAGACAGACTGAAGCAGTGAAGTGAGTTAAGTCAAGACAATTCACAGACAGATTGTAAGTGAGTTAAGTCAAGACAATTCACAGACTGTAGCAGTGAAGTGAGTTAAGTCAAGACAATTCACAGATTGTAGCAGTGAAGTGAGTTAAGTCAAGACAATTCACAGAGAGACTGTAGCAGTGAAGTGAGTTAAGTCAAGACAATTCACAGATTGTAGCAGTGAAGTGAGTTAAGTCAAGACAATTCACAGAGAGACTGTAGCAGTGAAGTGAGTTAAGTCAAGACAATTCACAGAGAGACTGAAGCAGTGAAGTGAGTTAAGTCAAGACAATTCACAGAGAGACTGAAGCAGTGAAGTGAGTTAAGTCAAGACAATTCACAGACAGACTGAAGCAGTGAAGTGAGTTAAGTCAAGACAATTCACAGAGAGACTGAAGCAGTGAAGTGAGTTAAGTCAAGACAATTCACAGAGAGACTGAAGCAGTGAAGTGAGTGAAGTCAAGACAATTCACAGACTGTAGCAGTGAAATGTTTAACAGTTAAGTCAAGACAATTCACAGACAGACTGTAGCAGTGAACTGTTTAACAGTTAAGTCAAGACAATTCACAGACAGATTGTAAGTGAGTTAAGTCAAGACAATTCACAGACAGATTGTAAGTGAGTTAAGTCAAGACAATTCACAGACAGATTGTAAGTGAGTTAAGTCAAGACAATTCACAGACTGTAGCAGTGAAGTGAGTTAAGTCAAGACAATTCACAGATTGTAGCAGTGAAGTGAGTTAAGTCAAGACAATTCACAGAGAGACTGTAGCAGTGAAGTGAGTTAAGTCAAGACAATTCACAGATTGTAGCAGTGAAGTGAGTTAAGTCAAGACAATTCACAGAGAGACTGTAGCAGTGAAGTGAGTTAAGTCAAGACAATTCACAGAGAGACTGAAGCAGTGAAGTGAGTTAAGTCAAGACAATTCACAGAGAGACTGAAGCAGTGAAGTGAGTTAAGTCAAGACAATTCACAGACAGACTGAAGCAGTGAAGTGAGTTAAGTCAAGACAATTCACAGAGAGACTGAAGCAGTGAAGTGAGTTAAGTCAAGACAATTCACAGAGAGACTGAAGCAGTGAAGTGAGTGAAGTCAAGACAATTCACAGACTGTAGCAGTGAAATGTTTAACAGTTAAGTCAAGACAATTCACAGACAGACTGTAGCAGTGAACTGTTTAACAGTTAAGTCAAGACAATTCACAGACAGATTGTAAGTGAGTTAAGTCAAGACAATTCACAGACAGATTGTAAGTGAGTTAAGTCAAGACAATTCACAGACAGATTGTAGCAGTGAAGTGAGTTAAGTCAAGAC